TACAATAGTTCACAGCAGGAATTACTGATTATTACACGTGGGACAAATTATAAAGCACAATCTTTATAAATAGCTATGTTTTTTGGATAATTCATGCGAAAAATATATTTTTATAATTGATGAAATATAAAATAAATCTAACAAACAGCCCACCAAACAACATCAACTCTTCCTTCCTCCAGCGTACTTTTATCTTCACTCCCTCGGCCAGCGTTATGTCCATGAAGAGTGTGAAAGACTAGGAAAAAAGGTCGAATGAGTTGAAGAAAGCGTCCCCCATCCTCGCTGTTCCCGTGAATCTGGGAATCAAACAGGCGTTTTATATCAACAAGTATTTCATCCTTTAAAATATGACAGTGAAAATGGATCTTATGTACCTGAGATAGAGGACCCGGGACTGTACAATAAACCTGAACAGGTACTTGGAGAGCTTTGAGTGCCGATGTAGAGCCTCTTCGGTCCAGGGACGGGCTCTTCCACGTGGCCCATCGTAGTAGTTGGGACCCTGGTTAGCTTCCCTAGAATGAGTGAGATTACGTCAGGAGCATAAAGGGCGGCTGGTAATTTGGGCCGTGGGCGTGAAAGAAAACGCAACACTAAAAATAAACAGCGTGAAGGGCGTAAGCAATCAAGGTGGGAATAAAGAACGGTAGACTCAAAAGTAAGCCAAAGTGGCAACTGAAGTGCTTGTTGACTGTAGTTTCCAGGACTGGGGTGAAGTGCTGGGGAATTTGATGTCGCCCAATAAGGTGGATTTATGAACACTGGTTTATAATAGGGAGGGAAACAAAATCAGAGCCATTATTTGATATTTTGTATTCACTGATTAAAGGACAATGTTAGGATTTAGTGGCATCTAGTGCAAAGCTGCAGGATTGCAAACTCGGAAGATTGAAAGAAAATCTAGAGCCAAGGTTTCGTTTTGTCCGTTCTTGGCTACTGTATATAACAAATCGCTTCAAATGGCGGACTCTGTAGAAGAGGAAGAACAGAACACAGATACCTCTCTGAACGCTGCGTGTATGCCCCTGCGTGGTCGCCATATTTCGAGGTCCAGTTAACAATAAACTAAGGGATTGCAGACTTTCACTACAAGAATCCACTGTAACTTGCTTTCATCTGAACCAATTTTCATGAATTTTGTTTGTTATAAATTGAGAAAGTTGGAGAAATGTTGGAATTTATTCAGCTGCGGAGGCAGATCTGCTCTATGCCAAAAAGTTAACCTTACTGAATAGCCGACAACTTCCACTGGGACATGCAGGGCTCTAGTATATAATTATTTAGAATTATCTCCTTCTCCCAGTTTCTCCAAAAATGTATGATTTCTATAACTAATATCTTATTAATATATTGTTTATAAAGCGCTGGTTGCCTTGTTTTGTTGTGAAATGTGGAGTTTTGTCCAGAGGATAAAATAATTCAACCTGACGTAATTTCTTTCACCCCTGCCCACAGTTTCCTGGTTAGACAGTAATCTGTAATCTGTTGATTGATCTTTATGCACCAGCTCAACTCTCTCTCTCACTCCTCTCTCACTCTCTCTCTCTCTCTCTCTCGTTCTCCTCTCTCTCTCCTCTCAGTCTCTCTCCTCCTCTCTCTCACACACACACACACAAGTTATCACATGTATGTTATTTTTACTTATTCTGGTGCTTCTCTGACTTAGCAGTGCTTTTTTTTGCTATCAGTGCCTGTTTTAAATATTTTTCACGTAAAAGTTTCTCTTGACTGTTTTTTGAGCTGATTAGCTCCGCCCCCAGTGACTGAATGAATTCCAACAAGTAGCCAGTATCAGCTTCAATTCTCCCGATTATAACAAATTCACAAAAATTCAGAATCAAGCGAGTTACAGTCAATTTTGAAGTCTGAATCTCTCAGTATTGTTAACTAGCTGATCTGACCTCCGCAATATGGCGACCACGCAGATGCGTGTCAAATCGAGAACGCAGTGTCTACGTTTCTATATCTATGCCTCTCTCTGTAGATAAAAACGGTAACCTAAAAAATCACTTATTTTCATGTAGCATGAAGTATTAATATTCCATTTCTGCCTATAGATCCTCCCTATAATGTTACACACTGGACCTTAAAGTGGCAGAGTCCACCATTCCCGCTCTGGATTCAAATGACCTTCCCCCTCAGGGATTTACAGGAAATAGTGAATGCATGTAATAGATTGTTGCTGTTTTTATCCAACTGATTTCACTGTCTGCTGTTCACTCTCCTGATGCCATATCAGAGCTGCATATAGTTACAGAAAAGAACTAGTTTGTACAACGTGTTGTTTGTCTCGCACTCGAAGGCGGGGTTAAAACCCGGCCGTTATAGAGGGGAGCAAAATAGTTAAATATGTGTGTAACAGCATACATTTCCATACAGTCGCTGCTGGAAGGCAGTCACATTGCTGCATTCAGTTATGCACATAAAAAGTGACACAAGCATAGGGTTAATTGGCAAAAACAGATATCTCTGTTTATATTTATTTTCCTACGTTTTTTTTGTTTGCAACCCAGGGAATATCAATTAAACTGGTGTTGGGTTGTTTTGATATCTTCTTTTTCTCATCTCCATAAATCATGTTTTTTTTATCGTGCACTTAGGGGAATATCAATCAAACTGATGTTGGTTTATTCATTTAATTTTATTCATCTATCTGTTTTTCCAGATGAACTCTTACAAGAGAGCTAGTGAGAGTGAAGTTCAAACCTTCCTCGCCACCGCACACCTGCCCAATCACTGTGGGTGCAAATGTATTCGTATTGTCTGTTTCAGAAATGACAACGTCGGAAAGATGTGGAGGGAGGCGTGTACTGGCACCTTAAAAGTGTTGAACTAGTGACTTTTGTTGTGAAGGACCCAGAGGAAAAAACATATATATTTATATATATTAGGAATATTAGGGCTTCACAATATGGATCTTTTTCAATCGATACCAATAATGACCTGCATCCATGGCCAATAAAAGAAATTAAAATGTTTTCTGGTTTTCCCTCCGACGTCCTCTGACTGCTCCGCCTCAAATCTTTGTGATTAACAGAGTTTCCCAATGGACAGTAAAGTAACTGCTGCCAAATGTAGCTGCTGTTAGCTAGTTAGCTTAGCATAGTACCCTGGACACCCGGGACTGGGATCGAGCTGGTGTTTACACTGTTAGCATAGGAGCTTCGACTGCCAGGAGGAGGACGCTTTTAGGCCTGGGATGAGGCCGACTTAGAAAGCTAAGTTGGACAAGAGTAAATTTCGTACAGACTTTCAGTCGTTGGCGAGGGTTTTGGCAGCGACTTGTCCTTCTTAAGTAACGTAATCATACCAAATGTACAGCTGTCCATATTGGGATTGAAACTGGGGTTGCCATATCAACGAATACCAAATCTTACATAATGCTGCTTTAAGTCAATGAAAGCAATGTTAGCTTCGTACTATCAAAATAAATAATAAATTAAATCAAAATAATAAAAATTTATTTTGTATACATATATTATTGTGCATCCCTAATATATATAAATATATATATATATATATTTCTATACTGTATATGTACATGTATGTGTAATGTAATGCCATCACCCATTGGCACTATGCCCTGGAAACAGACTAACCAAGGCATCGAACACCAGGGTATCATAGGTGTCCTTTTCTGAGGTCTCCATCATGATGTTGAACAGGGCATCAAGAGTGTCCTGGAGAAACTGCACATGAAACAGAAACCAGGTTACAAAAACACCATTTAAAAAGACATTATGCAACATCTATAAAATATAGCAGCATGTTAAACATTTAGCGCGACATTCGTGGGGCAAAGAGAACTCACTTTGACAATCTCGCTTCCCTCAACCTCCATCAGCCTCTTCAGAATCTGGTCCAGGTCTTCCGGGTTGGACCTCCAGTTCAACAGCCCTAGTAAATCCACTGCAAAGAAACCAGGAACATGTCAGCCTCAGGGTTCCCACTCGCCTGAAGAAATCATTTTCCAGGACATTCTCCAGGAGTTTTTCTTGACAATACAGGACAGGAGTTGCTCATAAATGGGCATGTAATCTACCAGCAGCAGTGGGCCTCGTATTGATGCATTTAACTCTTTTATTCCACCTAATTCACCTATTTTTCCGCTGTATACTCTCCTGTAACCATAACATGACTTTAACCACAGCACATGGGTAACAAATTAAGTATACTTACAGAAAATGTTATTTATTAACCACAACAACAAGACATTTTTCCACTGGGTAAAAACTAACACTAACAGCAAAAAGATCGCTGCAAGTTCACAATCTGTAGCGTAGATCTGACAACATGGATTATTTCCAGGATATTTGAACAATTTAATCAATTTCCAGTTGTTTCTATGAGTGGAAAACTAGGTTTTCCAGGACGCATGGAAACCCTGAGTTTACATTCATTCGGAGCGACACCTCCGCTGTTACAAAATCTGTTAAGCTAATTGCCTTAAAAGGCTGAAATTTCAATATAAACCCTATTAGATCTGCATCAATCAACATCAACACATCAGCAAAACATCAGATCGGCTTAATTAATTTCTGGGGGGAGGAAATGATGACGGCTCTGCGCCTCCATTTGCTGTGGGATCGGTCAAGATAACTTGTGACAGGGGATCTTTTAATTATCACAGACCGGGGAGGAATAGAAACGGCGCCCTACAGTACCCTTCTGAGTGAGTTTGGTGGAACAGGTGAGCGTGGCGATCTGGAAGCTGTCTTTGGTCACAGGAATCACTCCCGAATGGTGGAACTGCTTCCCCATTTGCTTCTCCTTCTCCTCCACTTCAGTCCAAGTCGCTGGCAAGGTGAGATAAACCTTTGCATCCTCTGCCTTTTTCACATCAACCTGAGAAAATTCATAAAACAGGGAATAAATCATGAAGCATATTGATCGACTGAGATCTAATTTCATATTTATTGATTGAGCAGAGACTCATGCATAATCCATCTACCCACTGTCAGCTATTCAAGACACTGGTTTTTGTGTAATTAAATAAAAAACAATCTCCTGCTTATTTTAAAGATAAGAGAAGTAAATTAAGTTTCTACAAATCCGCAATCCTGCCGCGGTACCTTATAGACGATAAGTTCGTGCCTGCCGTCAGCCAGCGTGGTCCCGTCTCCTCTCATGAGCCGGACGAAGGCCATACCGAAGGGCTTCTCCGATTTGTCCCTAGCTGAAGGAAGCACAGGAGCATCAAATGTATTTAACATGGCAGCAGGATTACACGTGGGCGTTTGTCATACATATAGGGCGCAGTCACTCACAGTCCTGGGAGGATCGGTGCCGAAACATCACCCTCAGGTGACAGCGGCACACGTCTTCAATGGGAATTGTCACCTTGTATTGGGGGGAGGGGGGAGTCAGGGCAGGTGTGAATACAGAATTATACATATGGAAGATATCTGGTGGCAGATTTGTATTAGTAGCACATTCTTTGCCCATATCTTCCCTAGAGGATTACTGTATTGAGCTACAGTGAATCCATTTGAAAAACTAATTAGAGAACATGAGATATGGTGTTGGAAGCTGCACACTCGGGTCATTGACATGAGCTTACCTTGACTGTTTCATTCCAACAAGGCTGCTTCACCTGGTAGTAAATTACAGACTTGTACTCTGTGATACCATCATAACCCGCTCCAGGAAATATCGCTTTCTATAGAAATTGAAGGGAGGAGATCGGTTAGCACGATAGGAGCTAAATAAATGTGCTATTTGATGTGTTTGCAATTAACTTTGACAGAAAAAAAGGTCCCAAAATCACAGAAATACAAGACAATGTGAGTACAGTCACATAAACCTGTTAAAAAGAAGCTCTTTGAACCTGTACTGAGGTAAATGTTAAAATTATGTATGTATATATTAAAAATGCACTTAAATAATATTTTATAAAACAATATTTCCTGTGTATCCTTATTTTATTATTTAATCATTTTATATCAATCTTTTATTTTATTTCAGCAGTGCCTTTAATCTCTTTTTAATAGTATATCTGATTACTGGTGTGTGTTTTTGGTTGTATTGTGTCTAGCTCATTTATTGCTTTTAATATTTTAATTACTAGAATGCTTAAAAGCTTATAATGACAATGATAATACGCCGCTGTTTACCAGATAAAATGTTTAACATCTCCCATATTAGCAGGGCGACCAGGTGTGCACAGCATTTTTATCCCTCGTCCCGCGTCCCACATTTTGAGACAGTGTCCCACATTTTGAGACAATGTCCCACCTTTTGAACTCTAGATTTTCTAAAATCTGGTGTTTATCCAACGTCTGTGGAGGAAGCTAGGAAGGCTGTCAACATGGGGCTGCGCACACATGTGGGTCAAGTGCAGGTTAACCTGTCAACGTCTTCGCTACGCCCAATGGGGGAAAACTGTGAGTCACCACAAAGTCACCAGCTATGTAGATTTAGGCGGAATATGATGGAAATGCGGCTTCAATAAAGAGTGGAAAACTGCTTATAACTGGGTGACAATCAGGGTTTTATCTCGTCCACCCTAAAGTTGTTGAGACGTTTCAGTGAAAACCGCAAATATCAAGCTCATGGAAGAGCTAGAGGAAAAGCCCGGATCGTCTGGGGACCGTTAATGTCAGAACTAAATTTTATGGGGAACAAAGTCCGGCTGGCCCGACATTGCTATACAAAGAGCCCTGCTGCTAGCCTAGACCTTTTTCACAGCAGCCATTGTGACATGAACTAGTGGGGTAAACAGGTTATGCTAATTTAGGCTCTGTTCCATTTAGTGTAGCTTTTCCAGCGAGCCAACATGCACATGTGACCCTTCCTAAGTCCTGCCCCTTTCCCCTTTGAGCAAACCTTGGTGAACTTCTTCCTTTCCTGTAAGTAGATATGTTACGTACAAGGCTAATCTACATTGAAAAGACAACCACTCGTAGCATATCTAGGTACAGGAAAGGAGGAAGTGGACCAAGGCTTGCTCAACTGTTATTGGAGGAGAGAGCAAAAAGGGGCGGGGCTTAGGAAGGGTCTTTGTTTGACCTGAATGGAATTGAACCTTAATTAGTATCACTGATAACACCTGTATTTTAGCCTATTATTTAATGACTGCCGCTTTATTTCAAGAGTTATTATAAGAAGATGATAGCACAGTGAGTCAGTTTGCTGCAATCACATGTGTGTTTTACCTCCACGGGATTGCCTTCATCATCATGCACACTCAGTATGACCTCTACATTTTTCGGGGTCTTCTTTTTACCGCGGTCAAACTCCCCCTGCAGCAAGGTCACGTAAATATCATTCCTCACGTTTCCTGGAGAAAGGACAACAGATGATCAGGTGATGTGCCGAGAATTTATGAACCCCCCACACGCTTTTGTAAGCAATTACAATGTACACAGCCGTGGCGTATGTAGAGCAAATGCCCAGCAACAAAGACTTTAATCCACCTGGGAGGATGATTTCTGGAAAGCCCATTTTCCTGACGATAGCAGTGCTGCGGTCCACAAAGTGGGGGTAGTCCTTCCTGACTTGGGCGAGATCCCCCGGGAGGAGCTTTAGGGTCACAAACAGCCCTGCCAGCAAACATGTAAAGAAATTCAATGAGGCGGACACACCCCGCAGACCCCCTCACACATCATTTATTTCCCTCAAAACAAAAAGGTCAATTTAGAGCGACCCTGTGCAATCCCAGGGGGAACACGCTGTCTGTAAGCACTTTATTTTACCCTGGCCTTTGTGATTGACCTCCCGCGTGGCAATGACTTTGTTGAAGACAGCAGTGAGCGGCTCGTTTTCTCCTATGACTCGAGACGGGATGAGCGGAGACATGATGAGCTGCCTCTGACGGATGTAGGTCTCCATAGCTATCCTGGGAGAGAAGCATCGGGACGAGAATAAGAAAAATCAGCTGCCAGCGACTCTGACAGGTGACAAACAAATGGACAGAGGAGCTGCAAAGGCAACGTGAGGCTTTCAGGATCTCTTGACAAGATGCGCCATTATCCCTTCCCACACCCCACTTACCTCAAGTGACTACCACAGAGAAAACTAACACAGTGCTAGTGCAGGGTGCCAGTGCCATACTCAGCTCTATAACACTGCTTGTGTGTGTATTTTAAAATACACAATTTAACACATTAGTAGCTAAAATTGTCATGTTATTATAGTTGTTAGGTTACATCTGTCAAATGAAAATCAGGATTCTTAAAGCACTGCAATTCTCAAATGCACAGTTCAACACAGGAAATGTGTTTCTTGTTGCTTTGCAGAATTTAAATGAGTACAAATGTCTTGAATTGATCGAGGGCTTGATGACCCAATTGGATGACACTGCTTTTCTAATGAATTGTGTAACTCTCAGACGTGTAGAGATGTGCTAATCGTGTGACCACACGGGTACTAATAGGTACTGATCACTGCAGACTGGGAACACCCTACAAGAGACCATTTTTCCTGCTTCTAACACATCAACTTTGGAGGACAAAATGTTCACTTGCTGTCTGATATATCCCCCTTCGGTGACAGGAGCGCTGATAATAAGATAATCAGTGTTATTCTCTTCACCTGTCAGTGCTCACATTGTTATGATTCTTCACTGTACAGTCTTTTATTAGCTTTTATTCTCTGTATTTTCTTTACAATGCTGTTACTGTGAGGAGGTTTCAGTGAATAGAGGTAAACACTGTTAGTTGAAACTGGCATTTGAGTTTTGATGAATACCATTCAGTTGGCTGCAGTGGATATTGGACGTCACTGTTTGGCTCACTGTTACAGAAACAAAATGTCAGTGGACTTTAATGCCAAAGTTCCTTATAGACAGTCTGAGTTAAGGGGGTAGTTTGGATTTTTTGGAAGCGAGGTTGTAAGAGGTACTTGTAGTCAGTCGATTATCTATAGTAGATGGCGGTTAGGAGTACCGGGATGAAAGCTTAGCGATGCCCTGCTGTGAACGGGGGCAGTGATAACTCGTATTTTAGCCACCTAAAAAGAATCAATATCAGTTTAACTTTTTGTTATATTTTCACCACTTTACCCCACCGTTAGACAACCTTTTTCGAAAGGAAGTCACAGTGTAGCAGAAATAAACTGACCGATCAAGGCAGCGATAGACCAGAAAAACCCCCATGTTCTGCAAGGTACAATTAAGGTTTTTGTCAAAGGAGTCTGGTGGCTTTGAAGAGAGCAATATAACAGCTTAGCTTCTGTCTCGGTACCTCTTTCTGCTTCTCCAAACCAGCTGACCGCAGTCTACTGTACACTGACTATGGATAAGTACCTCATATAAACCCACTTCAAAGAAGCAGAACTAACGCTTTAAGCAATGACAAAAGGACGTGTGATTTTGTGGGCAGTGATGAATCCACTGATATTTCTTTCGGACTCATGAGTTAATGTTTTGACGGCCTTTTGCAGGACAAATTAAGTGTGGTGCTGGATTGATGTGGTAATTGGGAGCTGCAGGAGTGTTTTAGAAAAGGTGCAACTGAAAAAAAACTGTATTAGTAGTTATTTCCAGCTTACAATTTTATACTTTTTCCATTGTTCATTGGGAAATTCATTTAGCCTGACCTTTTTTTTATTAATTTGTAATTATCCAGTTCATGATTACTAGTGGCAAATAAGTCACTCAGTGTTAATGAAATATAAATTCATTTGTCAAGGCTGGAAAGCTTGTTTTATGGTACAATTGGTCTTTTGTAAGGAACACATTTGGAGGATATTGACGAGCAGAAAAACGTATATTGAGGAAACTTTTACTCACTTTACTTATGAAAAAAAACACAAATGTGCAAACACAAACTATGCTTCAGTCTGAATTAGTCCTTCCAGATACAAAATGCAAAAGAATTCTATATATTTCAGGTTAAAAAATGTCATATAAATCCACATTTATTGTTTCAAATAATCATCCAGATGAGTCCTGACAAATTCTCTATTCAACAAAAACATGTTTTTATCTTTACCTCCTGAAGAAGACGGTTGAACTGTGACACAGCGAGAAGAGACAAATAGAGTAAAACCTTAGAAAAATTTTGGTTTAGATGTCGAGAATCAGTCGAGATATTTTTGGGGCTCCTCTATCTAGGATCCCTGTGAATCGTCCTCATCCCCCCATTGTGCAGGCGCTATGAAAACATGGCCTTGAAGGCCGTCTTTAAAGGCACCTAACAAAAAGTTTTCAAATTTGTCCTTGAAATGCAACATTGGAAAAGCTGAACTGCATCCTTGAGAAAGACGTGATGGAACACAGAAAGCAAACATAAGCCCTACTTCCAATTCTTCCCCATTATTTGTGCTCCATTGTGTGACATTACAAAACAAGGCTGAGCCGGTTAACGGTGTGACAACAACATCAAAACACTCACTGCTGAAAAGGGATGAAGTGCTGTTTGTCCTCATCGTCTGTCTTGCCATGGGCGACGTCTGTAATGTCCATCACTGCAGTGGCACAGGGAACATCAGTGTGGTTGAGGATGCAGATGCAACCCAGTTATTGCAAAAACAACAGCAAAGCAGGAAGTTTAAATAGTTTGTAAAGTGAATTTCCTCACTGCAACTTTGCAAACTGTATTTTCTACTTTTAAACAGAAGCCTGAGCCAGGTGCTGGATCTCACTCACCTGTTGCCTGGTTGCCTGGCATTGCAGACAGCCAGCATAGTAAAACAGATTGAGGGTCCTGCCTCTGAACTTTTGATTCCACGCAGCTCTTTTGTTTTTTTTCCTAAAGTGTGTTGGGTTTTTTTTTTCCTGGCTAAAAATAATGTGACTTCTGAGTTGAACGCTCTTTCTGACTCTGGTTTCAGTCCATTTGCTGGAACTGCAGAGGAAACCATTCCTCATCAAATCCACAAATCATTTGGCCAAAAACAAAAAGACGGGTGCTAAACCAATTTCCACCGACTCCTTTGCCAAGGCAGAGTGGAGGCATTTTCTAGGTCATGAAGCAGGTGTTGCCATTTCATTTAGCACACGGATCTTTCATTTCTACACCTCGACAGAACTATTCAAGCAACCGCAGCAGCCAGAGCATTTTTTTCGTTGTTGAATTGACTTTTGTGTAGCTCAAACAAATATCAGAAGCTCACCGGCCACGCCAAACGGCCTCCTCAGTCCTCCGGTGTGTTTCTTGCCCTCTTTGAGCTCCATGCTGCCCACTCTGATGATCTGACACACCAGGAAGAGCCGCTGCCTCATCAGGTCGCTGCTGCTCAGGTCCTGGACGGGAAGGACGAAGATGATTTAATATAGCATACCGGGTGATGAGGTGCATTACATAGAAAAGAAGGCTGGCAGTACGTATCACCATCCTGTTACTGTGTGCACTCATATGGCTGGAGCTGCAGACCAGATGGCCAATATTACAGGATGAAAGCATGCAGCAAAACCCTCAAACATATCACCTTTCCAGCATCTTTAAACATTTATTTTTCTGGATATTTTCAAGTCAAAGCAGTCTGGACTTTGAGAAAGTAAATATAAGCTTTGAGTCCTCATGAATCTGGTTTTATCACATTCTGAACCACTAATTCCTGGTGGCACACATTCCAATTAACACAATGAGTTGTTTGCGGGGGAAACTGCTGACTGTGTCATTAACATAAACAGCAGCATTATAATGGGGGCAAATGTATTCAGATTTGTGCCGTGAATGTGAGCCATTCAGAGAAACTTTCAGTAAATTAGGAACGTTCCAGGAACAAATTGTCTTCTTTGTCACAGATTTCAGGCAGCGTTTGGACTGCTTAAATCCAAAGCAGAGGGAATACAGTCAGTGGGTTGGGATTCAGTTACCGTGAATAGTGCTGGCAGGTTGTTGAGTTTTTCAATTTCTTTAGGCATCCCCATACTGTCCCAACGCACCAGGAAGTTCTCGCTGCATGAATTTAAATAAGAATCACAGTTAGATATCACATTGTCTAAGGCATCAGGAGAGATAGCAAAATACAAAAGTAACTAAGGTAAAAACTCTGCATTATTGTATCTGTCTTACCACATAAAGTCCAAAGCAAATTCTATGATGATTGCATGTTTTGAATGGCAATAATCTAAGAGCTTATTTATCCCTGCAGACCCGTCTCATAGGGGACATTTTGAAACACACAGTCTAAAAATTTTCTGCTTGCTGGGTTCAAAAATTTAATTCTGCACCCTGCGAATCTTCAAAGAGTTTGAAATTTTTTGGGCCAATGCGACAAAACCTTCAGTAACAGCGACTTAAACGACTTGCTGGTCTCAACTGAAATCATCTGACAAAACATAATGAACCCCAAATGACAAATAACCTCAGCTTGGTACTTAAAGCTGCAGTAGGTAAGTTTTATGAAAATAACTTTTTGTCATATTTGCTGAAACCTTCACTACATCCTGACAGCAGCACATGAGACAGATAATCTGTGTGTTTTGTGCTCTTAATGGTATTTGCAGGAAACCACCGGGCCCGAACAAAAACCAATCAGAGCGGAGAAAGATATAAAGACGCTTTGGGTTGGAGGCTTGAAGAAAGTTGATTGTTGAGTCTCATTCCCAGAGTCCCAAAGAGTAGAGAGTATTTGTATTTGACGCCCTGGGAATGAGACTCAACAAATCAACTATCTTTGTTGACTGGTTGTTTTCGTTCAGGCCCGGTGGATTCTTGTAAATGCGATTAGGAGCACTAGGAG